CTCGGAAAACCCTATGAGACAAAACCTAAGTGAAGGGAAAATGAGTGCACCATTCTTCTGGATCATTGATATGGTTTTGGACGCGCTTATGCTACCTCGTTAAATCCTTCATAGGAAAAACCCGGTGGGAAAAAAACCTAGTCAAAGGGAAAAGAGTGCGGCGCATATGTCTTATATGAAGAAAATTGTTGAATCCTCCCCCTGATGAATTACTCCCCCTGATGACGACAAACTTGAATTATTTGAAGATACAACACAAATGATATTGATATCTCATTTTTCTCCTGTAGAGCAAGCTTTGGTACTGCTTTGTATAAAAATTTCTTCAATATCATCATTGGAGGATGTATGTGTGTCATTCCTTTGAATCCCTCTTCAGGTTAGAGTAATACCAAAAATATCTAGACTATTTTCACAAATCATTTCACATTAACAATTCTTAAAATAACATCATATTCTATAATATCATCAAAATAATAATATAAGCAAACTCATACGTTACCGTTACGAGGACAAGAGTATAAAATTGCATGATGTAATAAGCTATTCATATAAATTTGTGTATATTATGCTAGCATGTCATAGGGTCTTCAAGAGACCTAAATATTCTGATAATTTCTTTAAAAATTTGAATATGTTGCAACGATATAGAACTTGATCTCGAACTCATAATTCAATCAAAGTACTCACTGAGGCAATTAGATAACTTTCATTTCATGATATTTGAATACATACATTGAGCTTCGGGCTGCTTAACGTTTTTAGTAATTTTCTTTCAATAATTTATATAATGTATGACATTTTACATCTCTAAGAATTTATTCCTATGTATTCTTCAAAAGATCGCTTCTGGCGATATGCTTAACTTCATAATCTTTTTAGATTTTTATATAAATGCAAGTCTCCATAAATATGCAGTGAACATGCTTCATAAGAAGAAACATGGACGCATCTACATAATATACTAAGAGAATATCATAAAAGTTCCATGTCTTTACATGGATACATTTTGTCATATCCAGTTATTTTATTTCACTGCATCACAAACACCAATTTGTAACCTATACAATTTCATATCTTTTGGTGTTTGAACTGTAGGTCCGTTTCTTCCACGTTTTCCACAAATATTCAATTTTATTGGACTGCCTCTTCCAGTTTGGCCAATCTTTCTTTACATTGTCAATAATCATTGATGATCATCAATTTATAAACCCACATTTCTCTTTATGCATGCATAAGATATAAACATTTTTCATAGCCACTGGGTACCCATGCCTCTTCAAGGGCTCTCATTGTTTTCTAGTGGACTTATGCCTTCTTATAAGACTATATCTCTTCCGAGATTAAATATATAGGAAATGTGGATATTTCATATAGTATTATATTATTTGGGCTACATGGACCTTTTAATATAGTCTCAAGTTCAACGGAGCCAATTGTGGACTACTTAGGCACACAACTAGATAAATCATTTGCCACCACTTTATATTGCCTAATTATGACATCAACATTTTGATGTGATTTGTCACTTCAGCTGTGTTTTTAAATGCTTCTAGAATTTGACTTGCAATCTTCTAGATTGTGGTTTCTTTTCTACCTTATTTTCACATTAGGTGGCACAAAATTTTGATGAAACAATAATGAAATCATTTCATAACAATTTACATAGTTCTTTAGGAACAATCTTTTTTCCCCCTAACAACAGGAAATTGGTCTCATCAAAAGAATCTTTTGATTATAGTGGTAAGTGTTGTCCTCCACGGACCAAATATAAATAATATAAGATAATAACGTGAAGCAAAATCTTCATGTTCGCTCAATATATAGTGTAACATAAATACCATGGTTTCCAAAACTATTCAATCAAAAATAAAATTTTCACATCATAAATTATTACAGATCAAAGAACTTATGGTTCTTATTAGAAAATGAGTTCATATGAAGCAAATTATGATTAATATGCTTCTAGCACGAGACTATAAGTATCGGTCATGTTTATTCATAATTTCAACATTAACTCTATTATGTGTATGTATGAATCTATGTAAGTTTCTTCTGGAACTAAGTAATATCAAACATTGTAAGTATATAATTTGACCTATCAATAGCTCTTAGTCATGTTTACAGAACCTAATAAGATATTTACCAAAATAAATGGTAGTTAAACTCAAAAATAATTTCAACTCAAATAGTTCTGTGTATTGTTTCACTAGCAATAAATATCATAATTCTTGGAGGCTTTGTCATACAAGACCCTCCCTTTATACTATTTAACTTAAAAAATATTTCACTTCCGGGATAAGGTGTAAGTGACATTTGTTTCAAGAAATGATATAGAGCTTACATTTGCTTAAGGGAATTATGTAATGCTTATATTTCTTTAGGAAATAATAGATCCAATTATATGAAATTCGTGGATGTATAATAAAGACTTTTTATTTACCAAACAAATGAAACACATCATATTTTTCATATTGCTACTGCTGGAGCACCTAGAACAGGAAATGATAAATGTATTCCTTTATGCTCTTCCATATTACAATCCTACTTAGATCTCTATTTTCTTTCTTATTCGTATATAAAAGAATATCAACTTTTTAGGATCCATAAAACAAAATGAAAACTAAACAAAAAAAAAAAAAAAAATAAAAAAAAAAAAAAAAAACTTAGTACAATACACGTATGTAAATATTTTTCATGTTTAATACACATGTTTTTTTACAAAATTTTCAATAATACATACAAAATTCAAGTATTATACACATTAAATTATATTAAAATAATATATGGTGGCCGAACTTTTCAGTTCTAGAAGGTTAAGTGAGAAATTAAGACCCTTTGTATAGCCGCATGGCTATATTCTTTTGAAAAATTTAAAAATGAAAAATAAAAATCTTCCGAATAGGTGCTATTAGGCTGTTCCTATTTTTTTATTTAATTTTTATAAATAAATAGTACAGCCACGCGGCTATACCAACGTCCTTTAAATAAAAAAAAAAAAAAAAAAAAATAATAACATACACGGCTATACCCCTATAATTTATATTTATGGAGTATAGCCAAGCGGCTAGACTTGTAATGTGAGAAACTGTAAAAATATATATAAATATATATAATAATTATTCATACTACATATTAATTATTTATTAACATGAATTTTTCTTAGTTAAATATTTTTTGTGAAGGCTTATATATTATTAAATCTTAAGCATAGTATGAGATTATCCCTTTAGTTGAAAGATGACACCATTCTTGTTGGTTTTAATCAAATCATCATTGCCATGCCACCTTGCATGTTAGTAACAAGTGGTGTTGTGATATCATTGGGCTGTCTCACATTATTTCCTTATCTTTCTATCTTATCTTTTGGTGGTGGTGGTGTTGTGATAACATTGGCCAAAAAGGGAGGAGTCATATTATTCCCTTACTTCTATCTTATCTTTTGGTGGTTTAAAATATTGTATATATAAATATTATTTGGGTGCATCCATAGCCTCTTCTACAAGTATCATGTTTCCTTACTTCAATAATTTATTCAAATCTTTTAAGGTAGATTTCTACCATGGAGTAGAGAGAGAGAGAGAGAGAGAGAGAGAGAGAGAGAGAGAGAGAGAGAGAGAGAGAAACAAGATGAAGAGTGTGTGTGTTTGTCTTGCAATATTTCATACTTATCATAGTGAGTGGGTTATGTAATATGTTCTAAAAGTTCTTATTTTGTGATAAATGTGAAAATCTATTTACACAGTTCTCTCTATTTTTAAGTCAAGCATGTCTAATTTGTGCAATATTTCACACAATATTATTTGGAGTTTTTGTGAAGTATGTATTATTCATGGAACATAAGAACTTCAGTGACTGGGTATCCAAAGGATAAATGTACCAGACGGGACATAGGGCAGTGAGGCCGATAGATGTCACGTATTGGGTACAATTTGTGAAGGATAACCAAGATATGAAATAATGATGTGATATGGTTTGGATTGTGTATCTTTTTATTATATTTTTCTAGATAGTGTAAAATGACATTGCTTGACTGGCATATTACATAATCTACTCAATGAGCGGTGGTTTGCTCATCCCTCACCTATTTTGTTTTTCAGATCAATTAGTGGGCAAGACAAAGCCGAAACCAAAGAAGATGGATTAGTTTAGAGAGATAAAATTTTATTTATATCTTGTACAGTTGTAAGATTATTATAATTTTATTTATAAATATAATGGTAACGTATTTTAACTAATTTTTCTGTCTTTTTATTTATTTATTTCAATTCAAGCACCCTGATTCGGGAATATTATGTATTCTCGGATCGGGTCGTGACATGTAAAGTTTCTATTTATAGCTTATAGCCGTGCAGCTCTATTGTTTAAATTTCAAGTATAGCCGCGCGGCTATACCAGAGTACAGCCGAGTGGCTGTACTGTTATAATTTCTATTTATGGACTACACTATTAAAATATTGTATTTAATAAGTATAGTTAGGGGGCTATATCATTATAATTTCTATTTATGGCGTATAGCAAGGTGGTTAAACTCGTAAAATTTCTATTTATAGAGTATATTGCCTACTGGCTATACTCTTATAATTTCTATTTATGAGGTATAGCCGCGAGGCTCTACTTGAAAATTTCTATTTATAAAATATAGCGTATACAGTTATGATTTCTATTTATAGAGTATAGCCGATCGGCGATACTTTTAAAATTTCTATTTATACAGTATAGCCGCACGGCGATACTGTATCCAGCAGAAGCACATTGAAACACCATCACTTTCGGGGGAACATCACTTCAGGATCGCCTGTGAAGTTGCTGGAGCAGTATCATATATGCACTCTGCAGCTTCAGTCCCCCATCTTCAAGTCTTCTAACATTCTTCTAGACCATAACTTCAGTGGAAAAATAGGGAAGGATGGATTATTAAATTATCTACATAAAGATGATTGACATACAACATATATCCCCATGAAACAAACTAAAAAAAGTGAACAGGTTCCAACTTTCTAAAATCTCACCGCAGAATTTCTGTTGTAATGTTCTGATGAACGCTTATCAATCAAATGAACTTGCAAGTCTGGTGGTTTGTTTAAAGAAGTATCATCAGGAGCAACAAAAAGTGAATCATGGCACTCATGTCCCCATACAGGATCTGTTCTTGATTGCCGCGTTCGCTTATACGTTAGCAACACTTTGCTTCCCGACATATAAGCTTTCAAAAATAAATCTTGCTGCAATTCCAAGCACTTGGACCGCATTTTTCACATGAATTTTGTACTTATTCCACTATGTTCAGTTTCATTTCAACACAAAAAAACCTGCATATGTTAAGGAAGAATATCCAATTAACTAAACAACAAGTCATGACTCATATAGTTAATACAGTTACGAGTAGCAACACTCTGAAATAGTGACTGAAAAGTACTTGTGTCAAATTGCACTGAACATGTGTCAAAGTGTTAAATAGCCCTTGCTCGAGTATCAAGCTAAAATAATTTTGATAGATACAATTTGTCTGATGGTCTGATCTTATCCCTTCTGAGGTTATAGGAAATTTTCATAGGAAGAACCTACAAACTGCATCAGGGGATTCTCAAAAAAACTTTAAAATTTATCTCATTATTAACTTAACCACCATAAATGTCATTTACCCTTAAAAACCCCACCTAAACTTCCCCTTAATTCAAAATTCAGCTTCTCTTGAAATACAGGAACTCCATAAAACAGTCAAGTTACATGATGGGCAAAAGATTAATCCATGCGCGGTAAAATATTGGATATCCAAGAGGATCAAATCTAACAAAAGCTTCCTGTCATCAACTCTTACAGCAAAGGATTTCTACGCAGATTCGTGATTGTTATTATAAATCATCTTGCAAGTATAGCAAGAGAAAATCAATAGCCCAAGTTTCAGTTGTCCTATCGGAGTGGCTATTAATGTCATCTATGAGAACTCATGCAGTTTTAGAGCTGGTAAGGAGGGCATCTGTTAAAACTGATTTGGAGACTCTATAATATTTCTGACTGATATCATAAATTCTCAATTCTTTTAGTAGCTAGTTTTACGGGGCAAAGTGTTAGACACACATAAGAGCAACACAACCATGTAGCGGGAATGAAAATATTAATATGGATGGTAGGAGTGACTTCAAAAGGACAATTAAAAATCAATACAATAGAAAAACACTGGGAGTGAACCCTGTTAGTGATAAGTTAACAGAAGTTAATGTACCTATAACCGAAGGAAAACTAGTTAAAGATAAATAAGGGCATGTATGATGATGAGGCTTAGCTATCAACATCCCCAAGGAAAGGAAAATCACTCATTATGTGAGACACCTGGCCAGGCTTGAGGCGTGCTTGGTTCTCCCATTACGATTGGCCTTTTTATTTTCTGACCGCAATGTAGGCGAAATCAAATAGATCTCTGGATAATGATCCACTGTCAATCACTCTTGGTCTTCACCTCTTAAGTTCCAAGAGTTTCTTCTCACTTGGTAGTTGGAATTTAGATCGCTATTTTCTGTTCACAAATACTATGACTGTCCCCCACAGTGCATTTCTATTATCTGTGCTATGTCCACATACTCAAAATAAGAAGTCTACTTCAGAGTTGAGACTTTTATAATGATGCTTCGTCTTAGACTCCATGCAAATTTTATACAAAGCTCTCAGGCCACAAGTAAGGAGTAAAATGCACTCATCAAACCTAGATAATTATTTATGCATTTCGTAGCTCCTCTATACCAACTGTACCAACTTCATGAACTTCAATTCCTTGTGGTCCAACACTCCCCCTGTGAAGTATTTCCGATGAAACCTTTCCTTGAGGCTTATCATTATCATATGTACTCATAAAAACTGCCTGGTGTCCCATCCAGCCTAAAATACTGTTGCACTAGATTAGCTAGACTCTGTATGACCTTATAAAGCCTTTCAAGAACTTCAGGTGTTGCGCCATAACACGAAAACCTAAAGTCATTATGCTACTTCCCTTCCCTACATGAAAAATCACGTAATGTTCTCCTAAACTGCATCTCAAAATCCAACATTAGGCTCTCAATATAATCTTAACAAAATTCAAGAGCACATTTTCTACTGATTTACGACAATTGACAGGTGCCCTCATACAACAATTGTCAAGAGCATGTTTAAACAAATTAGAACGCCTACATTATCTAGCGTTTCAATCAAAATTCAAAATTGAAAAATTGAAAAAGCTATGAACTATTGAATACTAAAATTTACAATGAATGAACAGAGGCAACGGACCTTGACGACAAGGGGATAGAGAGAATGCGTTTGGATGCTGGAGAGCGAGAACTGAAAAGTCGGCCTAGGCGGGATGTTAGGAGGTGGCTAGGAGGCGCTAGGCTGCTAGGAGGTGGCTAGGCGGGCGCTAGGCTGCTAGGAGGTGGCTAGGCGGGCGCTAGGCGGCTAGGCGGTGGCTAGGCGGGCGCTAGGCGGCTAGGCGGTGGCTAGGCGGCGCTAGGCAGCTAGGCGGTCGCTAGGCGGTGGCTTGGAGGCTAGGTGGTGGCTAGGGGGGCGGCTAGGCGGGTTGGGTCTTTTTTCGGTGCCGGAGGACGAAGCCGTGACTGGGAGAGAAAGTTCCGTCCTCTGCGAGTGCAAGCTTCGTGTTCGTTGGAATATATTTAAAGAGTATAGCCGTTCGGCTGTACTCTTAAAATATTTGAATGTAATTAGAAAGTATAGCCGTGCGGCATCATTTTTGCTTTGTCCAGGGCACGTGCAGCATATGCTATGAGAGCTCTTTGCTTTAAACTCAAGGAAGGATGCAAAATGCAGAAAGGACGCTCTGATACCACTTGATGCAGTTCAAGTATGAACTCGCAGAGCTTGTTACTATTTTTTTCCTTGTGGATTTCCTTACTACTCTTCACCTTGTTTCTTACTTGTCTTTCACTTTAAAGTATGCTGATAATCTCGTTGGCTAAAAATGTATGTGAATAATTTCATAATCTACTGTCTACTAGATCCCTCCACTAGTTTATGAATCTTCGAGGTAATTTATTTCATTAAAAAGTAAACTAAAGTCATAATTTCATTTAATATGGAGAAAGAGTGCCAGAAGATGCCTTCTCTGCCATTACTCAGACTATTTTTTTTTCAAATTTCTTGCTGAAGATATGATAGGGATATCTTATTAGGTCATTTCAGAATCCTAATGGTGGTTTTGGATTATTAGGCATATCTTATTACATGGGCTTCTTCTTGTTCTAGCAATAGTATGCTGATAATATTGCAGAAGCCTCAGGAATATGATTTTGTAGAAACAGATTTTCCCTTATATTATTCATATGATCATTATACAATATATATATATATATATATATAAAGTCTGTAGAGAATAATCTGCAGTTACAACAAGTCATTATCACAAACATAAATATGGAGTTATGGCCTAATAACAACATAACTGACAACTGACCATTTCCTATCATTAGTAGGATTAACTATTGTAACTGAAATACTATTGTAACTCCATAACACTCCCCCGCAAATTGAGCGAGCACAGCATAGCAAGATTTGAATGAAGAAACTATATGGTGATGGAAATGGTAGTAGCAGTCGTCTGTAGTAGTCTAGTAAGGGAAACAAAAAAGAAGAACTCCATAGGTGCAACAATGGCTAGAGAGAAACAAAGTAACATAAAAATAAAAATAACGCCCATTGAAAGGCAGCAAGTGAAGGAGCACATGGGCTCATGGAAGGAAAGAATAAAATGACGAGCTGACAGACAAGTCAAATGTTACTGGGAAACAACTCTAGGCGCCTGAGAAACATAACTCTACCTAGGAATCACCCTCTAGGTAGGATAAAGAGGAATAGACATGTTGTAAGAGGAATGAGAAAGAAAAATAAGTCAAACAAGTGCATTTTTGTTTGTGTTCTTATAAATATAATAAAGAGAGGGAGAGAGAAGACAGAGACCAACAGTAAAATGAAAGAAAGAGATTGGGCTTAAGAGGGGAGGAGAACACATGTTGAGCATAGATAGAGCGTGCGAGGCCAATACCAAGGCATCAACACAATGATAGGGCGTGAGTGGCTGATACCAAGTCGGCAACACAGAGAAAGAAACAGGGGTTGTGCAAAGGGAACACCGGTAGTGTAGCACAACAGAGAAGGCTTGGCGAGCGTTGACGAGGCTCGCGGAGGAAAGAGAGACAGCTCAGTGAGCGATGACAGGCAGCATCAACAAACAAGGGGAAAGTATGGACACCACGATAGAGAAACCATCAGAAATACATGATCAGAGAGAGAAACCACAATTGCAGACTAGGAAAAGGGAAAGGAAAGGTGTTTAGGGATGAGAGAGAGATGAAGCTTAAGGGAATGAAGAGGAAGCAGGCATGTAGATAGATATTGGAAAAATGGGGGGCTCATGACACCAAAGAGAAAGAGTGGGAGTCTTGATATAACTAGAGAAAGAGAGAGAGTTCAAGAGGGAGTTTTGATAGAGAAAAAAAAAGAAAGAATGAGATCCTGGAGAGAGAGAGGGAGAGAGAGGATAGAGCACATGAGGGATAGACAACGGTTGTGCAAAGGTACTAACGACAGTGAAGAATAGCAGGATAGAGACAAAGGCTGGCTAGGATAAGGGTTGGCGAGCGATGACAATTGACATGGGCGAGAAGGCTCAATCTTCAATAGAGAGCATAAAAAGGAGAAATGGCTCAATATTCAACAGAGAGCATTACATGGAGAAATGCATGGCTCAATCTTCAACAGAGAGCTAGACACGGAGAGAGTGAAAGAAAAAGGCTCATCAATGAGCAGAGAGCTTGATAGGGAGCTTTGAAAAATAAAAGGAAATGGCAGCAGCATAGAGAAAGAAAAAAAAAAGACTGATTATAGAAGGGAGGAGAAGATGGAGAACTATACATAAGCAAACACCCTTCGGGTGAGGAGAGCCAACGACTCTCAATGTTGGCAAATGAAGGATCGCTAATTGGCATTAGCCATTAGCTCTGATACCATGTAGAAACTGATTTTCCCTTATATTATTCATATGATCATTATAAAAATATATATATATATATATATAAAGTCTGTAGAGAATAATCTACAGTTACAACAAGTCATTATCACAAACATAAATATGGAGTTATGGCCTAATTAATAACAACGTAACTGACAACTGACCATTTCCTATCATTAGTAGGATTAACTATTGTAACTGAAATACTATTGTAACTCCATAACATTTGATGTGGTAGAAATAGACCAGCTTGACTAAATGAGAATGCAGTATGCTGATTATTTGCTGATATGCTCTACATTTTACTTGTTTGGCAGAAGAGTGTGTGTGTTTGTCTTGCAATATTTCATACTTATCATGGTGACTTTGTTGCAGCTTTCTCTATTCATGTTTAATATTCTTTTCCCAGTTCCATCCTAGAGTAGCTCTGTTTGTCCTTACCCTAAAAAAATTACTTGTTCCTTCCCAATTAAAACAATCAACCAAAGCCATAATCTCCAAAGAGTGACCACCTTCATGTTGGTCCCTAACGAACAGATTGTGGAGGTCTATTCATGACAGATGACAAATCGACCCTTTGGTTGTTCAGTTGTTCAATATCTAATTTGATTGAGGCATGTCTAATATGCAAAGTATACCTCTGGATTGCATAGTACCATTCTTTGGGGACCAGCCATTTTGTGGGGAGAGGGTGCATGCTAGAGGAGTAGGTCCTGCACCCATTCCAGCTGATGAATTCTCGCTTGAAAAGTTGGTCGATGCCATACGCTTCATGTTAGATCCAAAGGTATTTATCGTTTCTTTTTAAACTTGCAAGTGATTTACATCTATTTGTCATTTCTTGAGTGTAAACTTATCACACATGCATACGCACTGATTTAATTGAAGTTGACATTGTTTTGTAATCAATTTCAAAATGCAAATACTTGTCACAACTCTGGGGTTATTTTATGTTATTTCAATCCCTTGCGTGTACCTGAATAGATTAAATTAACAAAGAAATAACTATTTTATGTTGAAAGGTTAAAGAACGTGCTGTTGAAATTGCCAAGGCCATGGATGGCGAAGATGGGGTGACAGGAGCAGTGAATACCTTTCATAGGCATTTTCCTCACAATAAATATGAAGATAATAATGTGAAGTAAAATCTTCATGTTCGCTCAATATATAGTGTAACATAAATACCATGGTTTCCAAAACTATTCAATCAAAAATAAAATTTTCACATCATAAATTATTACAGATCAAAGAACTTCTGGTTCTTATCAGAAAATGAGTTCATATGAAGCCAATTATGATTAATATGCTTCTGGCACGAGACCATAAGTATCAGTCATGTTTATTCATAATTTCAACATTAACTCTATTATGTATGAATCTATGTAAGTTTCTTCTGGAATTGAGTAATATCAAACATTGTAAGTATATAATTTGACCTATCAATAACTTTTAGTCATGTTTGTAGAACCTAATAAGATATTTACCAAAATAAGTGGTAGTTAATTAAACTCAAAAATAATTTCAACTCAAATAGTTCTGTGTATTGTTTCACTAGTAATAAATATCATAATTCTTGGAGGCTTTGTCATACAAGACCCTCCCTTTATACTATTTAACTTCAAAAAAATTTCACTTCCGGGAAAATGTGTAAGTGACATTTGTTTCAAGAAATGATATAGAGCTTACAGTTAATAAGGGAATTATGTAATGCTTATATTTCTTTAGGAAATAATAGATCCAATAATATGAAATTTTGTGGATGCATAATAAAGACTTTTTATTTACCAAACAATTGAAACACATCATATTTTTCATATTGCTACTGCTAGAGCACCTAGAATAGGAAAGGATAAATTTATTCCTTTATGCTATTCAACATTACAATCCTACTTAGATCTCTATTTTCTTTCTTATTCGTATATATAGGAATATCAACTTTTAGGATATCCATGAAAACAAGAACCAAAAAAGAAAAAAAAAAAAAAAAAAAAAAAAAAAAACATTAAGACTAATACACGTATGTAGTATGTACATATTTTTCATATTTAATACATGTGTTTTTTAACAAAATTTTCAATAATACATACAAAATTCAAGTATTATACACACAAAATTATATTAAAATATTATATGGTGGCTGAACTTTTCAATTCTAGAAGGTTAAGCGAGAAATGAAGACCCTTTGTATAGCCGCATGGCTATATTCTTTTGAAAAATTTAAAAATAAAAAATAAAAAACTTCCAAATAGGTGCTAATAGGTGCTATTAGGCGGTTCCTATTTTTTATTTATTTAATTTTTAAAAATAAATAGTATGGCCAAGCGGCTATACCAAGGTCATTTAAAAATAAAAATAAAAATAAATAGTATAGCAGCACAGCTATACCCCTTAAGTTCTATTTATGGAGTATAGCTGAGCGGCTAGACTTGTAATGTGAGAAACTGTAAATATATATATAATAATTATTCGTACTACATATTAATTATTTATTAATATGAATTTTTCTTAGTTAAATATTTTTTGTGAAGGCTTATATATTATTAAATAGATTATCCCTTTAGTTGAAAGATGACACCATTCTTGTTTTCCACGTGTAGAGACTTAGAATTAGTTTTAATCAAATCATCATTGCCATGCCACCTTGCATGCTAGTGTGGTGTTGTGATATCATTGGGCTGACTCACATTATTTTCTTATATTTCTATCTTATCTTTTGGTGGTGGTGTTGTGATAACATTGACCTAAGAGGGATGAGTCATTTTATTCCCTTACTTCTATCTTATCTTTTGGTGGTTTAAAATATTGTACATATGAATATTATTTGGGTGCATCCAAAGCCTCTCCTATAAATATCATGCTTCCTTACTTCAATCATTCATTCCAATCCTTTAAGGTAGATTTCTACCATGAAGTAGTGTGTGTGTGTGTGTGTGTGTGTGAGAGAGAGAGAGAGAGAGAGAGAGAGAGAGAGAGAAAGAGAGAAGAGAGAAAAAGAAACAAGATGAAGAGTATGTGTGTTTGTCTTGCAATATTTCATACTTATTATGGTGAGTGGGTTATGTAATATGTTTTAAAAGTTCTTATTTTGTGATAAATGTGAAAATCTATTCACAAACTTCTCTCTATTTTCAAGTCAAGCATGTCTAATTTGTGAAATATTTCACACAATATATATTATTTGGAGTTTTTGTGAAGTATGTATTATTCATGGAACATGAGAACTTTAGTTATGGGGTATCCGAAGGATAAATGTACCAGACGGGGACATAGGGCAGTGAGGCTGATAGGGGTCACGTATTGGGTACAATTTGTGAAGGATAACCAATATATGAAGTAATGATGTGATATGGTTTGGATTGTGTATATCTTTTTATTATATTTTTCTAGATAGTGTAAAATGACACTACTTGACTGACATTTTACACAATCTACTCACCGAGTAGTGGTTTGCTCATCCCTCACATATTTTGTTTTTCAGATCAATTAGTGGGCAATAGCCAAAACCAAAGAAGTTGGATTAGTTTAGAGTGATAAACTTTTATTTATATCTTATACACTTGTAAGATTATTATTATTTTATTTATAAATATAATGGTAACGTTTATTAACCAATTTTTCAGTCTTTTTATTTATTTCTTTCAATTCATGCACCGTGATTCGGGAATATTCTTTATTCTCGGATTGGGTAGTGACATGTAAAATTTCTATTTATAGCTTATAGCCGTGCGGCTCTATTTATAGCTATACCGGCAATATATTGTATATAGAGTCAGCCGTGCGGCTAAACTTTCAAAATTTCTATTTATGGGTTCTAGCCGTGTGGCTATCCTTTAAAATATTCTATGTTTTCACCAAAGAAAAAATAATTAAAATAATTAAAAAAGACTAAGATATTACTTAATTCCATATATTAAATAACAGAAGTTGGGCAAAAAGAAGAAGAAGTAAAGAAACTAATTTTATACTTTTAACGAGTATAGCCGTGCAGATATACTTTTAAAATATTTAGAGTGTATTGTATTTAATAGGTATAGTCGGGCGGCTATATCGTTATAATTTCTATTTATGGCGTATAGCAAGGCGGCTAAACTTGTCAAATTTCTATTTCTAGAGTATATAGCCGCCCGGCTATACTTTTAAAATTTATATTTATACAATATAGCGGCAATACTGTGAATATATTGTATTTAGGGAGTATAGCGGCTGTACTCTTATAATTTCTATTTATGGGTCATAGCCGCGAGGATCTACTTGAAAATTTTCTATTTATAGCGTATAGCCGGGCCGCTATACTCTAAATTTCTATTTATACAGTATAGCCGGTCGGCTATACAGTAATAATTTCTACTCGGCTTTATTAAAAATTTCTATTTATTGAGTATAGCCGCGCGGCAATACTTTTAAAATTTCTATTATAGAGTATAGCCGCGCAGAATTTCTGTTGTAATGTTCTGATGATTGACATACAACATATATCCCTATGAAACAAACTAAAAATAGTGAACAGGTTCCATCTTTCTAAAATCTCACCGCAGAATTTCTGTTGCAATGTTCTGATGAACTCTCATCGATCAAATTAACTTGCAAGTCTAGTGGTTTGCTTAAAGAAGTATCATCAAGAGCAACAACAAGTGAATTACGGCATTCATGTCCCTGAACAGGATCTGTTCTTGATTGCTGCTTTCGCTAATACGTTAGCAACACTTTGTTTCCTGACATTTAAGCTTTCAAAAAGAAATCTTGCTGCAATTCCAAACACTTGGACCACATTTTTCACATGAAATTTGCTTTTGTTCCACTATGTTCAGTCTCATTTCAACACAGAAAAACCTGCATATATTAAGGAAGAATATCCAATTAACTAAACAGCAAGTCATGACTCATATAGTTAATACAGTTACAAGTAGCAACACTCTGAAATAGTGACTGAAAAGTACTTGTGTCAAAGTGCACTGAACATGTGTCAAAGTGTTAAAAAGCCCTTGCTCGAGTATCAAGCTAAAATAATTTTGATAGATACAATTTGTCTGATGGTCTGATCTTATCCCTTCTGAGGTTATAGGAAATTTTCATAGGAAGAACCTACAAACTGCATCAGGGGATTCTCAAAAAAACTTTAAAATTTATCCATTCTTAAAAAAACTTTAAAATTTATCTCATTATTAACTTAACCACCATAAATGTCATTTACCCTTAAAAACCCCACCTAAACTTCCCCTTAAATCAAAATTCAGCTTCTCTTGAAATACAGGAACTCCATAAAACAGTCAAGTTACATGATGGGCAAAAGATTAATCCATGCGCGGTAAAATCTTGGATATCCAAGAGGATCAAATCTAACAAAAGCTTCCTGTCATCAACTCTTACAGCAAAGGATTTCTACGCAGATTCGTGATTGTTATTATAAATCATCTTGCAAGTATAGCAAGAGAAAATCAATAGCCCAAGTTTCAGTTGTCCTATCGGAGTGGCTATTAATGTCATCTATGAGAACTCATGCAGTTTTAGAGCTGGTAAGGAGGGCATCTGTTAAAACTGATTTGGAGACTCTATAATATTTCTGACTGATATCATAAATTCTCAATTCTTTTAGTAGCTAGTTTTACGGGGCAAAGTGTTAGACACACATAAGAGCAACACAACCATGTAGCGGGAATGAAAATATTAATATGGATGGTAGGAGTGACTTCAAAAGGACAATTAAAAATCAATACAATAGAAAAACACTGGGAGTGAACCCTGTTAGTGATAAGTTAACAGAAGTTAATGTGATAGGAACATGCACAACATGGAGTAAAATGCACTCATCAAACCTAGATAATTATTTATGCATTTCGTAGCTCCTCTATACCAACTGTACCAACTTCATGAACTTCAATTCCTTGTGGTCCAACACTCCCCCTGTGAAGTATTTCCGATGAAACCTTTCCTTGAGGCTTATCATTATCATATGTACTCATAAAAACTGCCTGGTGTCCCATCCAGCCTAAAATACTGTTGCACTAGATTAGCTAGACTCTGTATGACCTTATTAAGCCTTTCAAGAACTTCAGGTGTTGCGCCATAACACGAAAACCTAAAGTCATTATGCTACTTCCCTTCCCTACATGAAAAATCATGTAATGGTCTCCTAAACTGCAATCTCAAAATCCAACATTAGGCTCTCAATATAATCTTAACAAAATTCAAGAGCACATTTTCTACTGATTTACGACAATTGACAGGTGCCCTCATACAACAATTGTCAAGAGCATGTTTAAACAAATTAGAACCCCTACATTATCTAGCGTTTCAATCAAAATTGAAAATTGAAAAATTGAAAAAGCTATGAACTATTGAATACTAAAATTTACAATGAATGAACAGAGGCAACGGACCTTGACGACAAGGGGAGAGAGAGAATGCGTTTGGATGCTGGAGAGCAAGAACTGAAAAGTCGGCCTAGGCGGGCTGCTAGGAGGTGGCTAGGGGGCGCTAGGCTGCTAGGAGGTGGCTAGGCGGGCGCTAGGCGGCTAGGAGGTGGCTAGGCGGGCGCTAGGCGGTGGCTAGGCGGGCGCTAGGCGGCTAGGCGGTGGCTAGGCGGCGCTAGGCGGCTAGGCGGTCGCTAGGCGGTGGCTTGGAGGCTAGGTGGTGGCTAGGCGGGTTGGGTCTTTTTTCGGTGCCGGAGGACGAAGCCGTGACTGAGAGAGAAAGTTCCGTCCTCTGCGAGTGCAAGCTTCGTGTTCGTTGGAATATATTTAAAGAGTATAGCCGTTCGGCTGTACTCTTAAAATATTTGAATGTAATTAGAAAGTATAGCCGTGCGGCATCATTTTTGCTTTGTCCAGGGCACGTGCAGCATATGCTATGAGAGCTCTTTGCTTTAAACTCAAGGAAGGATGCAAAATGTGTTAGAAAGTAAATGTATTTTAGATAGGAAAGAATTTGTAATTGATTCATATACCCAATCCTTCCCTAGATGGAATTCCTAGATTGTAGGATTCCTTATTGTACAAGGTTAACTCGTGTATATATATCTCTATGTTATTAATGAAAGATTATTCAAGCCAAATATATTTTCTACATGGTATCAGAGCAGGTTTCAAAAACCTAGCTTTTTTCTTCTCTCGTCTCTCACACATGGGTGACGACGGCTCCTCCGCAAAGGGCAGCAATGAAGCCGCTGTCCCTCTTTTTCTCAACCACTCAGACCACCCTGGGTTGGTCCTCGTTTCAAAGAAACTCAATGGCGACAACTACAACACTTGGTCTCGCTCGATGAAGATTTCTCTTAGTGCTAAAAATAAAATTGGGTTCATAGATGGATCCATCAAGAAACCTAAGGCGGACAAGCACCCTCTCGATTTTGCGGCATGGCAGCGATGCAACGACATGGTGGTGTCGTGGCTCTTAACTTCTCTGGAACCAGATGTGGCTGACAGCGTCATTTATTTATCCACCGCTCACGATATTTGGGATGACCTTCGCGAGCGTTTTTCTCAAAACAATGTCCCTCGTCTCTTTCAAATCAACCGTGAGATTGCTTCTCTCACTCAAGGACAGCTTTCTATTGCTGCATATTACACCAAATTGAAGGGGTTTTGGGACGAGTTGGCATCCTTCAGTGAGGCCACATCTTGCACATGCGGCGCACAGAACGAAACCAATAGACTTATGCAGTTTCTCATGGGATTACCCGAATCCTACAGTGCCATCCGTGGCCAGATTTTGTTGATGAAACCTCTCCCGTCGGCTCGACAAGCATATTCATTCATCTCATAGGAAGAGAAACAGCGGGAACTTGGCTCCACACGTACTCCAGATTCGCAGACTGCAGCCATGGCCGTTCGTCATGATTCTCGCTCTCGTCCAGGAGGAGATCGACCTCTACTCCATTGCACCTATTGCAACTATGATCACCATACCCGAGATACCTATTACCAACTTCATGGATACCCACCTGGTCACCCCCGCTATGGCCAGAAGCCCGTTCCACGCCGCAACCACAACAACAACGGCAGCAGCAGTCAGCACAACACCAACAGCACCAGCGACAACAGCCACCGTTCTCATGCCTCATCTGCTGCCCACCAAGTCACCGCCCATGCTCCAACTCTCCAAGATATTCAGTCCGCCATGCCCCACTTATCCGACATCCAATATCAACAAATCATGTCCGTGATGGTTGATACATCCAGTTCCTCTCCTTCCAACCCGCAAGCACATGCTGCTTCTGCTAGTTCCTTTTCTCAAGGTTTGTCACCCATCGCTTCCTCTCATGGTCCATGGATCATTAACAGCGGCGCGACAGATCACATCACATGTTCTTCTCATTTATTGACGAATAGCACCCCCACCACTCATTCACCTCCTGTTTCCTTGCCTAGTGGAGACAAGGCTCCGATCACTTTGACAGGAACAATTTCATTAAATTCTCATACACAATTGAAAGATGTTTTATGTGTGCCTAGTTTTAATATTAATCTTTTATCCGTTGGTAAAATTACAGATGGGTTACGCTGTTCCGTAACTTTTTTTCCTTCTTGGGTTCTTTTGCAGGACTTGGTTTCGAAGACGACGATTGGTGTGGGTAAGCGACGAGGAGATCTTTACTACCTAGTGGCGCTCGCCTCCACCACCTCCGATGACCGTCCATCTTCCTGTCACCTTCTCACCACCTCCACCAACCTTTGGCACCGCCGGCTGGGACATCTTTCCCCAGCCCGTTTGCAATTCTTAGATAGTACCTCTTTAAATTGCTCTTTTGATTCACGTCATGTTTGTGATATTTGTCCGTTGGCAAAACAAACTCGCCAACCTTTTGGCCTTAGTTCTATTTCAACTTCTAGACCTTTCTCTCTTTTACATTGTGACATTTGGGGTCCTAATAAACATCCCTCTCTTACTGGGGCTTATTATTTTTTATCCATAGTTGATGATTTTTCTCGTTTTACTTGGGTTTTTCTTATGAAACATAAACATGAAACACAAGCCCTCCTCAAAACTTTTTTTGCCTATGTTGACACACAATTTCATCTCAAAGTTCAACAAATCCGTGTTGACAATGGGGGAGAATTCTTCTCCATGCGCAATTTCTTTTCTGACCATGGGATAATTTATCAACACTCTTGCGTTTACACACCCCAACAAAATGGAGTTGTTGAACGCAAACACCGCCATCTCCTTGAAACTGCACGAGCCCTTCGTTTTCAATCTAATTTGCCTATAAAATTTTGGGGGGAGTGTGTTCTTACTGCCGTTTACCTTATCAATCGTTTCCCTACATCTCTCCTCCACAACAAAACCCCTTTTGACATTCTCTACCACAAAGCACCCTCTTACAACCATATGAGAGTTTTTGGTTGCCTTGCCTATGCCACCTCTGTTCACCCAAGCTCCAAATTCGCTCCTCGAGCCCACAAATCTGTTTTCATTGGCTATCCCATTGGCCAGAAAGCTTACAAACTTTATGACCTTGAAACCCATAAAACTTTCACTAGCCGCGACGTTCTCTTCATGGAAGATACGTTCCCTTTCTCCAGCCCCGACCCATCCACACCACCACATACCACCGGACCCTCCCTTCCTTTATTGCCCTTTACTGACCCGGACCCATTCCCTTTGACCTCCGGCCCTTCTCCTCCTTCTCCGTCCACCACCGGCCCTGCCCCAGGCCCAGACCTCCTCCCTCCACCCACGGACCCCACTCCTTCTGCCACCAGTCCTACCCCAGACTCAGACCTCCCTCTTCCCACGGATCCCACTCCTTCCGCCAGCGTCCCGGTCACCCAGCCCGCCCCTGACACGCCTCGGCCCACCCGTATCTCCTCCCGTCCCAAGCAACCCTCCACACGCCTCAAGGACTTCGTTTGCTCGCAGGTGATTCTGCCCCCACATCAATCCTCGTCTTCGTCGACCGGTCCTTCACCAGGTACTCGTTTTCCCCTCTGTAATTTTATTTCTTACCATCGGTACTCGCCCAGACATCTTTCTTTTGTTAACTCCATCAGTCGCAGTGTAGAACCTTCCTCTTTTGCAGAGGCTAACAGCGATCCTCGCTGGCGTGAGGCTATGGACTCCGAACTTGCTGCTCTTGCTGACAATCACACTTGGACCCTTACTCCTTTGCCTCCTGGCAAATTTCCCATTGCCTGCAAATGGGTGTACAAGATCAAACACCGTGCTGATGGTTCTGTTGAGCGCTACAAAGCCCGCCTTGTTGCCAAAGGTTTTACTCAAACCGAGGGCCTGGATTATCATGAAACCTTTTCTCCCACTGCCAAGATGATCACTGTTCGTTGTCTTTTGGCCGTCGCCGCCAGTCAGCACTGGGTTATCCAACAACTCGATGTTCATAATGCCTTTCTCCATGGTGATTTACATGAGGAGATCTATATGTCCCCTCCTCCTGGTCTTCGGCGACAGGGGGAGAACCTTGTGTGTCGCCTCCACAAATCTCTCTATGGACTTAAACAAGCTTCTCGACAGTGGTTTGCCAAGTTTACTGAAGCCATCCTTGCTGCTGGTTTTATCCAATCAAAGGCCGATTATTCTCTCTTCACCCGCAAAGTTGGCAAGTCTTTTACAGCATTATTAATTTATGTTGATGATATTCTGATTACAGGAAATGATATTGATGCCATTAATTCTCTCAAGAGTTTTCTACACACCCGTTTCCGTATCAAAGACTTAGGTGATTTGAAATATTTTTTGGGTATTGAAGTCTCCCGATCCAAGAAAGGCATTTATGTTTCACAAAGAAAATATGCACTTGAGATACTCAAAGATTATGGGTTCTTAGGTGCTCGACCAGTTGACTTTCCAATGGAGGAAGCCAAGCTTTCTGACAAAGGTGAATTACTCAAAGATCCCGAAAAATACAGACGATTGGTGGGACGACTGCTCTATCTAACTATTACCCGACCAGACATCACCTATTCGGTACATGTCCTAAGTCGCTTCATGCACCAGCCACGATTACCTCACATGGATGCTGCTCTTCGAGTTGTTCGATATCTCAAGTCCACTCCAGGTCAAGGTTTGCTTTTTCAGTCTGATAACAAGTTAGATTTAATTGCTTATTGTGATTCGGATTGGGCTGGTTGCCCCATAACCCGTCGTTCAACTACTGGATATTGTGTATTCTTGGGTAATTCATTGATTTCCTGGCGAACTAAGAGACAAAGGACGGTTTCACTGTCCTCTGCAGAAGCCGAATATAGGGCCATGGCAAGCACCTGTTGTGAGGTTACTTGGTTACGTTTTCTGTTGCAAGATTTGCACTTGCCATCTTCAGAAGCATCTCGTATGTATTGTGATAATCAGGCGGCATTACATATAGCAGCAAATCCAGTTTTCCATGAGAGAACACGACATATTGAGATGGATTGTCATTTTATTCGTGACAAAATAATTGATGGTACTGTTTCTACATGGCATGTGAATTCTTCACAGCAACTAGCTGACACATTTACGAAACCTTTGGGCAAGGAGAAGTTTTCAGCTATGTTGCGCAAGTTGGGCGTTCTTGACATCCACTCTCCAACTTGAGGGGGAGTGTTAGAAAGTAAATGTATTTTAGATAGGAAAGAATTTGTAATTGATTCATATACCCAATCCTTCCCTAGATGGAATTCCTAGATTGTAGGATTCCTTATTGTACAAGGTTAACTCGTGTATATATATCTCTATGTTATTAATGAAAGATTATTCAAGCCAAATATATTTTCTACAAAATGCAGAAAGGACGCTCTGATACCACTTGATGCAGTTCAAGTATGAACTCGCAGGGCTTGTTACTATTTTTTTCCTTGTGGATTTCCTTACTCCTCTTCACCTTGTTTCTTACTTGTCTTTCACTTTAAAGTATGCTGATAATCTCGTTGGCTAAAAATGTATGTGAATAATTTCATAATCTACTGTCTACTAGATCCCTCCACTAGTTTATGAATCTTCGAGGTAATTTATTTCATTAAAAAGTAAACTAAAGTCATAATTTCATTTAATATGGAGAAAGAGTACCAGAAGATGCCTTCTGCCATTACTCAGACTATTTTTTTTTAAATTTCTTGCTGAAGATATGATAGAGATTCATGGTCATTTCAGAATCCTCATGGTGGTTTTGGATTATTAAGCATATCTTATTACATGAGCTTCTTCTTGTTCTAGCAATAGTATGCTGATAATATTGCAGAAGCCTCAGGAATACGATTTGATGTGGTAGAAATAGACCAGCTTGACCAAATGAGAATACAGTATGCTGATTATTTGCTGATATGCTCTACGTTTTACTTGTTTGGCAGATTGGGGACCGAAGGTTGATGTTGTTGTTTTTTGTTTTCTTGACCTTGCTTCAAATTATGAACCCCCAGATTCACTTGCGGAGTGGCTTGAAGCTGGTGAACAGCCTGTCTATATTGGATTTGATAGTTGGGGTGGCCTTGGTAATTGTAAGTCTTGATTCTTTAAAAAAGATTACTTTCAAGCACATTGTATTCTTATGCTTCTTTACATCTGAAAGCCTTCATATATTTCTCTTCTCAGTGGCAGAACCAAGTGATTCTGTGTATTTAGTGGACAATTGCCCCCATGATTGGCTATTCCAACGATGCTTTGCTGTGGTAAATTTCAATGCTTTTAATTCTTTTTAATTTGGTTGGGATTTCCCTGCACTGGTGTTCAGAACGTCACATGAACTTGATGCCCCTTTTTGTCGTTTTGTTGTTTTGTTCCCCCCTTGGATAACTAGGCTACTCCCGGTTTCTTGAGTGTAAACTTATCACACATGCATAAGCGCTGATTTAATTGAAGTTGACATTGTTTTGTAATCAATTTCAACATGCAAATACTTGTCACAACTCTGGGGTTATTTTATGTTATTTCAATCCCTTGCGTGGACCTGAATAGATTAAATTAATGAAGAAATAATTATTTTCGGTTGAAAGGTTAAAGAGGGTGCCGTTGAAATTGCCAAGACCATGGATGGTGAAGATGGGCTGACAGGAGCAGTGAATGCCTTTCATAGGCACTTTCCTCACAATAAATCTGAGGATAAACTCGAGTCATTGCCGACTAGAAGAGGATTATTTTCCATCAGGAGGTGTTTTGGCTACTCCTCCTCCTACACATGATTCTTCACTAGTCCACAACGATGTTTTATTCCTATCATGTGCAAGACATCAGAAATGTGAAATTATGTTATCCTCTTACTAGGTTACTTAACATTACATCGTTTTTATTTTGCTTGGCAAACAATTCTTCTACAGATGCCTTTGTTTTCATTATTAGATAATGTCTATTAGGGCCACTTCCGCCAGGACAGTAAAAACTGTTATTGGAAGTGTTTTTAATACACTGAGAAAGATGTGATGCTTTGGTAAGGAACTTGAAAATTTACGAAGCTGAACGATTCTTCGAGAGACTTAAGAACTATATTGATGGCTTAAAAATAAAGCCGTTGGCCGCTGCACTATACAAACACAATTTCTTTCTGTTGGAAATATGAGTGCTAAATTACTATAAAATAAACAAAATAAATACTGCACATAAAACAAATTTTTACCAAAGGAGAATTGAATTAGAAGAACCTTAATTGAGTCGAGGCAAGTGTTGGACACTTTGACCTTAAGACGAATTACGCCCCACACTGGTGCTTATGGTTCACTAGCGTTCGCCTCCCAAGATACAACGACTCCCCTCCTTGTGAAAGAAGCACTGCAATTCACAAGGAACTTTGAACCAAATTATGCAGGAACCTCTCTTTATGAAAACTCTAATGCTCTCTATATATGAAAGTCTGTATGTAAAGAATTAAATTGCAGGAGGATTGCTCTATTTATAGATTATGAAATACCCTTTCCAAAAAGGTATCCCAATTTGAAAAGGCAAACAATGTATCCCTTGGTCTGAAAAGTTGTCACCCCAAACAATGCATCCCTTGGTTTGAAGAGTTGTCACCCCCCAATTGAAGATGTCTTTAACCCAAGGGTCATGTATTTAACCCAATGGATTTTATTAATTTCCATTCAAATAAGAAAATTAATATTAGTTAATATTAAATTTCCAACATTCCTCCACATGAATGGAAATTGACTCAACAACATGCAAACAAAAAATGAAGACAGTAGAGAGAGTCCCTTTTTTAAATATTTGTTACTTACTTAAATTTGAAGTACATCTCCTTTCAAATGTACAAAAACCAGGAAATCATTTAATTACTTGTGACCGTTTTAACTTTTCATTACCAAGCTCACTATATGACTCCAAAACTTATATCAAGTTGAATATGAAAATCCACAACCAAAAAAAAACACAAATTGAAATTTAGTAAGCGGAGGTGAAATAAGGAGACAAATTATGCACTAGGAGGAAGAAGATACATATTAAAAAATAGGGAGTTTCACTAATACACCCAAAATAGGGGCTGAAATTATAAAAAAACCCCACATGAAAAACGCTTTATAAACACACCCAAAACCCATTTATTAAACACACTCAAAACCCATTTATAAACACACCCAAAAAAATATACAATTGTTGATTTTTGGGTTTATTTTGGGTGTGTTTCTATGTTTTAAATAGTGTTGGGTATATTTATAATTTCATGTTCAGAATTGGGTGTTTCACTAATTTTGTATAAAAAATAATCTTGAACATTAATTTTAGGACTGAAACATGGTGTTTGGTTAATGCGGGCCTTTACCTTTCACAATTTGTAAGCCCATGGGCAGCTCGGCTCGGCCATAATTTGAAAGAATATAATGACCCATTTAATATTAACAATGATATATTGCATTTAATACCCTTTTAAATGTAAACTAGTGTTGACCCAAGGGTTTACCTCAATGTTGAGGTTCCTTGCCCTTCCCCTCCTTGGTCACCCGTTTGAATTCCAGGAAAAGTGCCCCCTCCCCAATTCTCTGAAAATAAAAATAAAAATTTATAAATAAACCCAATCCTAGACATGTATTTATAAAAAAACCCAAGCACTATTTAAACATAGAAACACACCCAAAATCAATCTCAAAGTCAACTTTTTGGGTGTGTTTATAAATGGATTTTGAGTGTGTGTAATGATGGGTTTTGAGTGTGTTTATATGTTTAAATAGTGCTTGGGTTTTTTTATAATTTCAACCTCCATTTTAGGTGTTTTAGTAAAACTCCCAAATAAAAAGGAAGTAAACTAGTATTAATGATCCTTGCATTTCATTAATAATTACATATGCCTTATTTGATAAGGTCATTTAAGCCCAGCACTTTGGTCCGCATATGAGCCCGAAAATTCTTGATCATTGGGTAGGAGAGTATTTAAGATAGGGTTGGTCTGGCCTGGCCTATTCAACCTAAGCCCAAAAAAAATCCGTAACTAAGTAGTGGGTAGTGGCTAGGTTAACCCCTCTTAAGGTCGGATTGACCCAATTCAACCAATTTTACATGCCTAGTTAGGAGATTAAAAGACCACCTTATGAGTTTTAAAAACTAAACTTCTATTTTAATTTTCGTGTTAATTTGATAGATAAATTGAGCGAAGTATTTGTAGGACTTTAAATCCAAATTTAGAATTTTTTTTATTTTTGATTTGAAAAATAAAATCGAAGGTTATAGACATGCTTTCCAACAACCCTTGAGTAATACACACGAGTTTGAACACAATTCTGTTGCTCGAAGTAAATGTGAAAATTTTCAAAATTATCCTAATATTGGTAACAAACCCACATGAGTTTGAACACAAGGACTAAAATAGGAAAAGTAAAATCACAATGACTAAAATTAAAATGTCATTTGAAATTCATTGCTTTAAAGTAAAACCCTTGTTCAACAATAATCTTGGTGAGTATGGGATCCCTGTGGATGGAAACCATGAGTATGGGATTCCAGGTGAGGCAGGCAGGGATGGCAAGGGCCGGTTCGGGGACGGGGATTTTTGCCATCCCACTGAGGCTTTCTTCGGACCACTAAACGTCAACTCTGGAGATTCCAACTGCTTATAATATTATTAACAGACATATTTGGGAAAGGCAGAACATGGTCATGATCATGATGCAGAAATAAGAGTTTTTTTCTTATTTTATTATGATGTGGACAAAAATATTGGGTGTCCTTTTATGGGCTGGGGATGCCCCACCTCAGTCGCCCCTTATTTTAAAGATGATGAAGGGGCAGAGAGAGCAAAGAACCAGGCAAGGGAAAGGCAGGAGGAAAAACAGCTCAGAGGGTGAGAGAGAAGTTGAGTTTGTGCAGTGCTGTGAGCAAGAGAGGGTATTTTCTCTTGGGGTGAGAGTCATCTTCATGGGTTAGACGGATTATAAAGAGTGTGTGTAAGGAGTGCATTCTATTGGATACGAGCTCGGATTTGAGTGGTTATTTTTGTACGTACTTGTATTTTTCTTTTGTTATAGTGAAAGTGACAACTCGTTTGGCAGTGTATAATCCAGGTCAAGCTAAACCTGTATAACAAATGTCCCCATTAGAGCGTCTACAGTAACTTGAGTTTTTTTGAAAGCAACACTATGCTATGATGGTCGGTGCGTGGCTCCTCCTCCTCCTCCTTCCGCCGCTCCCTTTGCGGCAAGGACGTCGTCATTTTCTAGCGCAAGTACGGCCTCCCCCTCCCCCTCTCCGACTCCGACCTCCACCACCACCTCGCCCAGATCTCCAAATCCCACCACACCAGCCTCATCAAGCTCCTCGGTGCCTCCCTCTCCGGTTACTACGTCTACCTCGTCTACGAATACGTCCCCGGCGCCAACCTTGCCGACTGCCTCCGCAACCCTAACAACCCCGACTTCACCGTTTTGTCCACGTGGCTCTCCCGCACGCAGGTCGCCGCCAACCTCGCTGATGGCCTCAATTACATGCACCACTTGTCCGGCGACAACTCCACCTTCGTCCACAACCACATTAAATCCTCCAGCATCATCGTCTCCGAGCAGTAAAACCTCCCGCTCAGAGCCAAGATCTGCCATTTCGGCACCGCCTGGCTCTGCGGCGAGACACAAGCTCTGTCCTCGACGGTGGAGGGCACCAGAGTGTACATGGCGCACGAGTCTCCGCTGACGCACAAGTGCGATGTCTATGCCTTCGGAGTTGTGCTTCTGGAGTTGATTTCAGGGGAGGAGCCATTGATGGACCGCAATGGAGGAGGAGGTGGAGGAGGGTGTAGGAGGGTGAGTGTGATCGAGACGGCGAGGGAGGCTGTGAGTAGCGGCGGCGGGTTGGATCGGAGGTCGAAGGACTCGTTTCCGATGGACATGGCGGAGAAGATGGTGAAGGTGGAGTTGGAGTGTGTGGAGGAGGATCCGGACATCCGACCCGACATGGGTCGGGTTGCGGGTTTGGTTTCGAAGCTGTTTTTGAAGTAGGAGAGTTGGGATAAGAAGATGGGCCCGCCTACTGACATGACAATTTCATTGGCCCCTCGGTGATATAACTATATTGGTTCAATTTCGATTGAACAAATTGTGAATAGGGAAGTTGTGTGTGGGATTGGGGATGTGTATATACTTGATTTGATGCTGAGAACAGAATAGAAACACCACAAGTTACCGAAGATTTTGTGAAATCTTTGTTGACATAATGTGGCTACCTTTTCTAGCAAGTCAATATCCAAAATCTTACTTGAAATGAAGTCAAGTCATGGGGCTTTGTGGGGGATGTACCAGTGGGGCTAGATGTGGTCGCGGCGAGGGAGTGTGCTGCCATCCGTGAAGGTTTGATATTGGCTGTGCAGTTGGGGTTCAATGGTATTTTGGTGGCCACTGATTTGAAGGAAGTTGTTTAGTTGAGGATATTAGACGGCTCAATTGAATATTGGTGAGACGTTCTTTCAACCGAGACAAGGCAATGGGGTAGCTCATGCTCTAGCTCAATATGGATTAAGGGAACAAAATCAATGTCACTGACATGGGAATGCTGGAATCAGATATTGAGGGGGTAATTGCTTTTGTTCGGCTGTATTGGATGTCGTGGTATACTTTTTTCTTGACCGGATTTTCTTTATAAGTTGGGGTTTTTTAAGGCAAGATTTTAACGATCGTTGCATCCATCATTTTCATTACTATTTGTAATTGGTTTCTATTGAATGAAGTTCTTCCATTTTGATATATTTTTTTAAAGTCTTAGGTCTTGGCTATTTGTGGAAAGATATACCTCTTAAGTTTAAGAGCAAAAATATAATTTCCATTTTGACCGACTCAGCAAACTGGATAATAATTATTATACGAGGCATTGTTGTCTGTACAAGTATTCAAGTATTATTCTGTGCACACCTAGTAAGAATCCATGCTATACCTCTGGGGTTCACTCCAGCATGTGCAATGCTTATCAAATTTTATAATGCATAATTAATATTGCATATAACTTGACAGCCAGAAACTCCATTACCATGGGGCTTTTGCTTTCGTACGCACCCAAGAACATCATGCTTCTCTCTCTCTTACCAAAAGCTCCAGTTTCAGCTCACTTTCCACCGCCAGAAAAACCACCCAGAAAATTGTTCCAATTCCATGGTAGGTTCTTTCTTCAATATCAACTGTTATTTATCATGTATGTGGGTCTGATTTTCAATAGATTAGATTATGTTTTCTGAATCATAGTTGAAACTTGTCTGTGATTTTAGCTAGTTGCTTTGACTTTTCGGATCGATCGATTTTCAATCGATAATTTTAATGGGTTTTGAACTCGTGCGGTTCGAAGCAGTAACAACAAGGTTGTATTTTCATTTATACTATGTCTTAATTTTGGTCAGTGAGATCAGTGGCCGCTCCGGCAGAAGCTGTTTCTGGGGCTCAGAGAAAGTATTACTTGTTAGGTGGGAAGTCACTTGCTATGGGCATCCCCACTCCTTGAGTGATTCCTTTGCTCAGGTTTAAAACATTAGTACTTATTAATGTTATAAAGTATTCACATTTCTTTTCCTGCAAAGTTGAACTTGTTTGGGCCTAAAAGAATTCACACGCCAGCCCACTTCTCACAAAGAAGCCCACGAATAGGGAAACGGAAAACTAGACTTTGATTCCAAAAAGAGAAAGCCCAATCCACATCAGAAGCCCACGTCTTTTACGAAATGACAAATTTGTAAAAACATCAAAATTAGATGGCAATCGATCACTAAAGCAGATCAATAAAAAACTAAAAAAGAATTGGATTGGACCCAGCTTCTAAGTGCTCACCATGGATCACAAAGCCTAGAGTACAAAGTTAGTAGACTTTTGAAAGTCTATTCTCCGAAAAAATCACGTGATCGATTACCTGACTTGGAAAAGTCAACAAATTCAACTATCATAGAGGAACTAGCAGAGAGTTAATGAAGGCAAGTATAAAAGAAGACGTCTTTGAATCTCTGCAGCCAAAAGATTGAAACCCCTTTCTATATAATTCTGCATCAGGACAAGCATCATTTCCAAGGGATAAGCAGACTACATTTTCTAAAAAAGATAAGTAGGGTGCAGGGAGTTGTCCATCAGGAAAATCAAAACTAACCATCATAGAAGATTGAACCCTTACAAAGAGAAATTAGAGGGCAAAAGAGATTAGGTTTTTCTTTCAAAAAAAGCAGAGAAGTGATCACCATAAAAAGAACTGACTATTGATGGTTCTTCTCTACCAGAACAGATAACTTATCTTTTTCTTTTCATTTAAAATAAAAGATCTTTCTTTTGGAAAATTTGCCGCCCATTATTAAAAGATTAAAAGCCCCACTCTAGCATTTTCTATAAATATGAGAGGAGGTGAACAGATCAAGGGACAACAACAAAAAATCAATCAAAACAAAAACTCAAAATGATCATTTGATCCCAAAAAAACCTTCAAAACACTGAAGCAACCAATAGCTCATTGAGTCACTAAAACAAGTCAGCTAGAATTCAGAATATCTAGAGTTAGTTCAGTTTCAGAGAAATCGTCATACAAAGCAAGATTTCTCTCGTTACAAATTTGGTTCATGTAACGACCCGGTCCTAAATAAATGTTTAATTATTAATTAAACATGATAAAAGACCATTTTGCCCCTAGAATATTTTATTAGGTTTAAAGTTGACTTTTTTACTGGAAAGAAATTTGGGAATTTCGACTGTACTGTTGCGTAGAGCACGGCGAGATGAGTTCATAAACACATGGTGGGCTCGAATTGGAGTTGTAACGAGAGAGATACAATCAAAATACCCTCAGTGGCATAATCGTAATTTTAGCGAAAAGGATTTGATAAAATCTTATCTCTCTCTCTCTCTCTCTCTCTCTCTCTCTCTCTCTCTCTCTCTCTCTCTCCTATCTCAGGCGACAGCAGCACAGCCAGCCACGTTTTGGTCGGCTGTTCCCTTATTCGGCCACCAAAGTTGACGGGGCCGGTACCAAAATGATCGGGCCACCGTCCTCTTCCAACCCCAGCTAAGCCCCGCCGTCTGCCACTATGATTTCACCTGAAAAAGCCGTGGAAAGTCGTTGGGTTTTGACAGTTTTTTGTCGGCTTCGTTCTCCGTCGTCCGGCCACCGTTTCCGGCAAGTGAGGTATGCTTTCTCACCTGCTCATTAGCATTTGTCTTTTCTTAAAGGGTCATCTTTTCCTAACAAGCTTTTTGGAATAAATCGATAAGGAGGCCCATGTGCGAGGCTGAAGGGGATTATCACATTTAATGACGACTTGACCTCCTTCTCTCCTAGCAAGAAAACAAGTCTTACAGAAACCACCAAAACCAGAGAAGGATCAAATTGCCAGCCAGTTCTTCAAGTACAAATGGGTCAAATCAAGAAAGCTTCACAAAGAAAACTGACGATTCTTGACAGAAGCCTTCCATCATTCCCTCTATGAACCGGTTAAGACCAACAAACCAACAGCTGACCTTGAACCACAAGCCAAAGGTCTTCTCGTAGTTTCCATAATTACAAGCCCCTTCCTCCTATATAAATAAAGGTCTACTTTAGAAGAAGAGGGCTCTCTCTCCAAAATCAGACGTAACGTCTCAAAAAACACTTGAAAACTCTCAAGATAGCAATTTGCCTACTCTCTTTAGATAACCAGTCGACAACTCCTGCATTTATCTCTCGTAGCTCTGCCATATTCATGGTATGATTTTCTTTTAAAAGTAATTTGTTTCAATTCATGTAATCACTTAACTGGATTGAGAAATCTCCAATCTCTCCTTCCTTACTTTGTAATTTGAATTTAAAGATAATTGATGGATTAATTGAAGAAGGTTCTATTATTTAATCTCGTTTACGCTTATATCGAGTATAAGTTGTAGAAAAATCATCTTAAATAAAGTTCATTTAATTACCTAAAAATGAATTATGGACTATTTTAGTACATAAAATCGAGTTCCTGCCTTCGTCCCTTTATAAAAGTCCAAAGAACCAACGTTCGGGCCCGAAAGGGAATAGGAGCCCGAATGAAACAGTAACGATAGGAGGGATAGGAAGTTGAGTTGGGCCCGAATTATACAACTGGGCCCAAATTAACTATTAATCCAACCCGAGGACGATATAGATATTGAAACTGGTTGATAAAACCCATATAAGGTCTTACTAACCACAATCTTGGTCTCTCTTTCTCTCTTACTTGTTCAGGTATCGCTCATTCTTGTCAGGTTGACACTCGCGAAGGAAAGAATATTGAAGTCCTCTTAATTGAGGCATAGAAAAGAATCAATCCAGGCCAGTAACCCCATTGGAGCACAATGGCTTGAGAAGAAGTCTAGAAAAAGACGCGCGAGTTCCATCAAAATTAACCATTCATAAGCATCCATACCAGGTCTATTGGGCTGGTCATATACCCAATAGTGGCACACCTACGCAACACCACGAATCAAAGTTGAGAAAAGTTGATAGATAGGGCCTCGACCAGGCCCGCTCGCTTTTGGAAAATTGATTCAACTTTCAATTTTGTTCAGAAATTGAAGGAGTCCTCTCCGCGAGCCAAGAGACACATCTAATCAGGGCATTGGTGTTGATCCAATGAAGCTCTTCGTTCCTCCGAGCAAAGCTGACCCCCGCCGACGGCGAAAAGGAACGACGGACAGAAAAAATGACCAACATATGGCAACTTAGAATGAATAACTATAGAAATGTGTGCATGTATTTTTCTTTTTGTTGCTCGAAGTCAATTAGTGAAAATTTTCAAAATTATCCTAAATTTGCGAACAAATCCAAACACAACGACTAAAATAGGAAAAGTAAAATCACAATGACTAAAATTAAAATGTCATTTGAAATTCATTGCTATAAAGTAAAATCCTTCTTTAAGATTCAATTCATTGCTTTAAAGTAAAACCCTTCTTCAATAATAATCTTGGTGAGTATGGGATCCCTGTGGAGTTGAAGCCCAAAATGCCCGTCCCATTCGTGCTAGCCCTCTGGCCTTCCTTAGAGTTTGACCCAAATATGACTTCATAATTATAATCCACAAGGCCAGCCCAAGAAAACCTCGTAAAAACAAAGAATCCAAGATGACTCCCCACGTGGATGAAGGCAGGAAATTGGCGTTACCCATTGGAGATTCCAAGTGAGGCTGAGGGATGGCAACGGGCTAGTTTGGAGACAAGTATGACAATATCATTCCTGTCCTCGCTTTTCATCCCTGCACCCGTCCCCACCTCAATTCCTAGTAAGAAATTTTGGGGAATCCCCGTCCCCGTTCTCATTGAGTGGTTGTCTCCCAAATCCGTTCTGAATCCCCAGTTTTAATTTATTAAAAATATACTACATTTAATTTTGACCAAAAAAATAAACTCAATTACATTCAATTAAACCATAAAATTCAACTTAACTACTCAAAATCATCTCAACAATTTGACAAACTAATAGAAATCATATTATCCACAATCAAAACTAAATATTTTGTCTCAAAATTCTCATTCTACCGCTAAAATTAACAACAAGAAAACACATTAACAACCTACGAAAATAAAAGATGAAAAAAACAAAAAAAAACATGATAGCACTGTAGCACAAGCACCGTAGCTTCATCTAACAATATGGGAGGAGGTTCTAATCATAGTCTGAAATATCGATAATATTGCGGATATTTCGGAACATATCCATGTACATATCGTATAAATATCGACGATAATATCGGAAAATATCAATGTCAATAATTTCGCTCACACTTCAGCAATATTTTGTCAAAATATCAAAAATATCGATGTAAAGAAAAAAAAAGGAAACAGAAGAAAAAAGAAGGGGAAAAAAGGAGGAAAAAAAAACACAAAGGAAATTTGAACCCCTCCCATGTTACTTCTCCAACACCTTAACCACTATGAGTGGCATGTTAACAATTACATGCAAAACTATTTTGGTGATTTATCATTTGATGAATACTCTTCACAATACATTTACTCTACACATAGAGATGATGAAGATAGTGAAAATTTTGAACCTCATAGGAACTCTATGTGGTACTAAGTCACTCATGTATCTTACCATGCAATGTATAAAGTGTAAAATATTGTATTAAATCATCATATATAAATGATTATGGTGTGTTTAATCTTTTTTTAATTAATTACTACATATTTTCTACATTCATAGTGTTTGCCAGCTCGCTGTATAATCAACTTAAATAAGTTAAATCCATCATGTAATGCATTTCCTTCTAATTTTTTTTTAATAAACTAATAGATAATTGACTAAATAAACATTCTCCAAAGTTTCAATAAAAATTTCCAAGTTTTTCTTACAATTTCCGTAGTTTTTATTCAATTTTTATCGATATCAATAATATCCTGATATTTCCATCGAAATTCCCATGTTTTTGGACTACCGATATTTCCGATATCATCGATATTTTAGACCATGGTTCTAATAACGAATCAAAAAGAATGCATGAAAAAATAATTTCCATATGTTTCTTGGTCAAT